TGGGTGATGAAATATGAGACCCTGGAGCACAAAACCAGTCTTAAGGGTCAATTTTTCAAAATTGAGATGTATACATCATCTGAAAGCTGAATGCATAAGCTTTCCATTGATGTATGGTTTGTTATGATAGGATAGCCAATATTTGGCTGAGATACAACTATTTGAAAATCTGGAATCTGAGGGAGCAAAAAAATCTAAATATTGAGAAAATCATCTTTAAAGTTGTCCAAATTAAGTTCTTAGCAATGCATATTACTAATCAAAAATTAAGTTTTGATATATTTACGGTAGGAAATGTACAAAATATCTTCATGGAACATGATCTTTACTTAATATCCTAATGATTTTTGGCATAAAAGAAAAATCTATAATTTTGAACCATACAATGTATTTTTGGCTATTGCTAAGTGACTTGAGACTGGTTTTGTGCTCCAGGGTCACATATTATACTACAATGTCATTAATTAATAAATTAAGATATGATAATATAATCATATTAGATAATATATTAACTTATGTTATTTAAATTACTAAAATAGCTTATAGACATTGAGCAATAATAATTCACCACACTGCATGATGCGATGACAAATTCAAGCGCACAGCTTCACCTAATTAATTATTAATTTGTTTAGTTATATCATTTACAATTTGAATAAGAGAACAACACCAATAACTTCGGGAAAAATGGTTTTATTCATTACATTATAGATCTGATTTTTGTTTTCTTCAGGAAACGGGCAGACTAAATAGCACCACAGAAGCGAACAATAAACCATAGAAATGGCAAAACAAAAATTAAATAATTAATCCCAATTTTGAACAATTATGAGTAACATTAGGCTAAAACATACATATGATATCTTGATCGGTGTCAGATGTTGAGCCGACCCAGGATGCTTTACTTTACACCATCGCTCATGGTGTTTAGTGCTTCTTATACCTCTTCAGCATCCATAAAGCATCCGCCTTCTTTTACTCATTTTGTCTTTATTTTTAAAACTGATAAACGCTAATTCAGTGAGTGAAAGGCGTTGCCTAGCAATGTACAATGTTAAAACATAAGCGGCATTACAGGCATTATATAGTGGGTAAATTTGACCCGCTGGCGCTTATGAGTATAAATGCCCCGTTTTTTTATCTGGTTTTATCTAAACAATTTTTAACAACAGGGGATTGTAAATCACACAATTTTAGTAAAAGTCAATAGCTATGTTTCCATTTTTATGCGCATTTTGGATAATCGCATAAAAAAACCGCTGGATGGAAACCCCAAGATGCGCATAAATTCTAAAATGTGCATAAAAAACTTATGCACACAACTGAGTAGGATAAACTTTTTATCCAATAAGAAAAAATGCACATAAACTACGATGGAAACACATTTACCGAATAAATTCCACCATGCGCATTGAAAAAGTCATGTGACTTTGCGCTAAGAGACGGGATAACTTGGCTAACCAGCGGACCGATCTCGTTCACAGCATCTATATGTTGTTCTGGTCGTTCTGAAAAGCCTGAGCAAAGTCTGTCAACAAAGTATTTCTGTATAATTACTGTCTTACATTACTGCGTTCCCAAACAGCAGGCATCCACCTCTAAAAGCAATGACCGCATTTATCGTGTTACGTCTGCTCTCGCGCAAGTCATTTATTACATATGAAAATTATTATATTCAGTGGCTTCTCCTAGTTTTCTTAGAGATATTTAGTGCCAGTTTATCAGGAAGTGACGATTTTGTGCTTGGTTACCAATGTTCTCCAAAATATCATCTTCTGCGATATTCCAGTTTTGCGCATAAGTTAAAGTCGCATCTTTGGTTGGAAACATAGCTACTGACTTGGAGACTTGAATGTTTCATTGAAAATCTGTTACGTACATTTGAAAAACAGCCACGGGTAAAATTTACCCCGTGGCTGTTCTAGTGTTAAATGTGAGGTAGACAGTGGCACAGTGATGCATGTATTTTGGGATTGTGACAAAATCAAAATGTACTGGAAAGAGATTAAAAAGATTATTGGAAAGACTTTTGTATTGTCCCCAAAGGTATACCTTCTGAATTGTACAGCGGATCTGTGTCTGGACTGTGACAAAGAATATGTACTGAATTTTTGTACATATTTGGCCAAAAAATGTATACTATTATTATGGTCAACTGCTCAGGTACCTTCAATCAATATGTGGACGAGTCAGGTGACCACTCTTTCATCACTGGAAACATTTACTTATGATTTACATCAAAGATCTGAGATGTTCTGGTGCATTTGATCCTCTCTCTGGAACTTTCTTGAGGATACTTAGTGACTATGTCTTTCTAATTTTGGTTTATAATTTTCTTTTATTTCTGTCTTTGCTCTCAAGCATTTGTATGCATTTGAATGTCTAATAAGAACTAGCTGTACATGTTGTTATGAGATGCGAGTACCACTGTTGTTTTATTGGAAAATTTAATTAAAAAAAACAACAAAAAAAAACATGCATATTAAGGTTAGACTTAAAATTTTTATGTTAAATCCACTATTGTATCGATAATGTTCTACCGTCTATACACAATATTAAGTTCAATTACATTAGAGAAAAGTACCTACTCGAGAAAGTATGCGATTTTTGGATGAGCCACACACACACACTAACACACACACACACACATGCTGTTTCCAGTCCAGATGTCTCTGATTACATGCTAGTTAATTAAAGAACATTAGATGAGAACTTGTTTGTTGAACTCATTTGAGTAAGGGGTCGTTCACACAGAACGTGTTTTTCCATTCCAGTGCGCTACTTTTCCATTGTTTTTCTATGTAAACACTCACTAGATTGATGTGTGTGACATTTCGCTTTTTTGCAGTGCATGCCGTGTTTTTAAGACGCCGTGTCAAGTTAAAAGAATTTCAACTTTTACATGCAGTGCCACCATTGATCTATATAAATCTATTATAGCTCAGCGAGTGCCACTCATCGATGTCAGTTCCAAAACAGTGGACCAATCAGAAGACCCCGGAGGCGGGGCATGCTTTTGTTTACAGTAGCAAGTTGGCATGGCAACTGTTTTATTTGACAGCAGCATGGATGAGGAGGAGGAGGCGTTCTGCGCTGCGCTTCTTAAAAAAAAAACATTCCCGAGCGCTGCGTCACACGTTTTTAAACGTGTTCTGTGTGAAAGGTTAATCATGAGTCACATGATTTTCACACACAGCATCAGACTCCTCCCACAATGTTTCATCCAGCACTCATTTCCTGATTACAAAACCAGAAAATCTGATGTTTATTCCTTGATTGTGTCATAAATGCATATGAGTGTTATGTGTGAATCTCATTCTGTCTGAGCAGTGAGACAGCTTTGATGATGATGATGATGATGAAGGCGTATGTGTATTTCTCCCATCCGTGTGCGGATGTTTGCCGGTGTGATTGTGTGACTGACGCTGCTTTTATTGTGTTGCAGTGGAGGATCTGTGAGCGCAATGCAGAGTCCAGACATGAACGGATACACCGGAGTCACAGCGCAGTCCTCACAGATAAAGTAAGCCAAACAATCACAACAACTAATGAGATTTTTAAAAATAAATACTGAAATATTAAATTTTTTTTTTGATTAAATGATACTGTAAATATGAAAGTAAAAGCACCAGTAGGTGAAAGCGAATCACTGAATCATTCATTTTACCAATTCATTCAAACGACTGATTCATTCAGTAACTTGCTGCATCCCGATTCACCTACTTATACTATGTCCTAAAAGTATGTACTTTTGAGAATAGTAGGGAAGCTTTGGGACACACTGCTTCGTCATAAAGACATGTGTCTTTAACGGATGCTCTGTTGCTTAGTTACGTGGATTCTGTCACCGTTTAAACTGCCCTGTCAATCATCTTGTCACATATTCACATTTCGTTTCATTTCATTTCCTACCGTATTGGAGAAAAATAAAGAGGCACGTTGATCTGCCAGTCGCGTGTCTTTCATGCCGAGAACTGCTCATGTGTTTGCATAATAATGCATTTAAAAGTTAATGACCAAACGTATCTTTATAAAAGTTCACAATGTTGCTGCAGATGAAATATAATGCGGATAACATTAAATGAATATTTTGAATCAGTTTAAACATTGATGATTATTTATCATTCAAACCCCTTTCTCTACCTGTTCGTCGGTCTCGCATATCCGCCATGTTTGTAGTTTTTAACAGTTTTTATGCGTGATAATAGTTCTAATCGAATCCTCGTTCAACGTGCAATGGGTTGTGGGCAATTTATAAAACAGATAGTTCCGGTCCTTGATTCTGATTGGCTGAGCCACGTTCGAAGCTGTTGTAAATGACTCTACAAAGTAACATACACCTTTGTTTACGTTTGTGTGTTGCTCGCAACCACTTTGTAGCAACCACAACTGTTTCTGAGGAACTACATTGTTTGGTGGAAGAATATTGTTTTTATTAATATCATTACACTTTATTTGCTCTGTATTATTTTGTGAAACCTAACTACGTATATGGAATAACCGTTTTATAAAAGCAATAACCCCCTTGAAGCCGTGGTTTAACAGTGAATTTATAACAGCTCCGCGTCGTACCTAACAACGCCCCTTAGCTGTAATAAATTCACTGTAAACCACGGCTTCACGGGGCTTATTGCTTTAATTAGCCGTTAGAGTGTGCATCGATCTGCACTTCAAATTCTAACCGGAAGTAGTAGACCATCCGGGAATCTTTGGGATACTCATTTCAACATACTACGTTTTGGGACATACTAATTCTATTTTCGAATACTATTTAGGATGGATAGTATGCGAATTGGGACGCAGCAACTGTCTTTATGAATGAGTCACTGAATCATTGACTCACTCGATTCATTCAAAACCGTGGATTCATTCAGTAATGAATCACCGCTGTGTGTTGATCAGAGACTCACAACGGTTCTGCCGCGGCTTTGATTTGGATTTTCATTTGCAAAATTGATCAAAGACAGACAACATTGTGCCTAAAATGTAACACAATATTAATTCTTGTTTATTGAATGGTTGTATCAAATCAATATCGCGTTTTGCAGTTCACTGGATCACTGACCAGAACTCTGTTTTATTTATTAATTGGATCGTTGGGATTTTTGGTGTGACTTGAGTGTGATGAATCTGATGGTTTATTGATGTTTCCTCTGCTCCTGATCTATTGAACACATTCATTATTGATCTGTCGCACAATTAGTGTGACTTACACAATGGAACAGATCAAGTGTCCACTTTACTCATTAACCCCACACACACACACACACACACACACACACACACTCAGGCCATGAGTGACTGAGGACAGGACATGCATCACAATTAATTCACTAATCCTAGAAGAACAGCAAAGAAAGTGTGAGTATGGATGAGCGCTAGTGTACTAACTCTCTCTCTCTCTCTCTCTCTCTCTCTCTCTCTCTCGCTCTCAGCGGTCATGGCTCACGGTCCCCAGATATTCCTGCCAAAAGGTCGGGTGGTAAAGCTCTGTATGGTAAGTGTGTCCTCCTGCTGTCCGCTGAGGGAACTGCAGTGCCGCTGAACCCCTGAACCCTCGAAACGCTGTCACCATGACAACGCGCTTCAAGAGGGATGATAGGATTGTGTTATTCAGTGTGTGACGTGAAGAACATGATGAAGACGTTCAGCCGTTTGCTCTTTTGTCTGATTCCCAGAAGGGATTCACCCGAAAGATTCATATTGATATATTCTACTGTGTTTGCATGAGAACACATCTGACTCGTATTTCACCACAATAATAATAATACATTTTTATTCAAGTCAAGTTGCTTTATGCAATACAGCTTCACAGTGTAAACAGGAAAATAACAGTGTTAATGATGCAAAATTCATCAGTCAAACAAATAAAGCAATAAGCCCCGTGAAGCCGTGGTTTACAGTGGATTTATAACAGCTAAGGGGCGTTGTTAGGCACGACGCGGAGCTGTTATAAATTCACTGTAAACCACGGCTTCACGGGGCTTATTGCTTTTATAAAACGGTTATTCCATATACGTAGTACGGTTTCACCAAAATAAAACAGAGCAAATAAAGTGTAATGATATTAATAAAAACAGTATTCTTCCACCAAACAATGTAGCTCCTCAGAAACTGTTGTGGTTGCTACAAAGTGGTTGCCGAGCAACACACAAACGTAAACAAAGGTGTATGTTACTTTGTAGAGTCATTCACAACAGCTTCGAACCAATCAGAGTCAAGGACCGGAACTATCCGTTTTATAATTCAATTTAAAGCAGCTCTACAGAAGACAATAGAGTCATTATTCAGTTCAAGTCAGTTATTCTCAATTAAACAAATACTGTAATGTGAAGAATTTTAGTAAAGCCAACAAATATTATCATGATGTATAATACAGTCTAAATAATATATTAGAATATTTTTGCAGTGCAATCATCAAATTGGGTGGAAAATGTCTTTTATTGTCATGAAAATCCAGATGCCTTCTTAACAGGCTTTGTTTGCTTTATTGAGAGCAGTTTTGGGAAAAGTTACTTTTAAAAGTAGCGCATTACATTTGTACAATTGCACTGCTTAGTTCCCTTTCAGTCGGTCACTCTCGACGTCACGTCGGATGACCAACGAATTGGGATCTCGCTTAGAGAGA